AACTGCAAGGTCCTGAGTTCGATCCCTAGTAACAAAAAACAAACAACAGAAAAAGGACAAGCCCAGGGACTGGGGTTCGATCCCCGACACCACATGCAGTGCCGGCTCCACTCCCAGGCGCACTGAGCCGGCCCCGAGACTGGGTGTGGTGGCTCACGCCTGTAATCCCAGCCCTGGAGAGGCTGAAAACAGGAGGATTGTTGCAAGTCTGAGCTGCTGCAAGTGAGACCCTGTACCAAATACATGAAAAAAAGCAAAGAAACGAAAGCAGGCTTTTGGTAAATCTCTAAATTGCACAGCCTGGGCTTAATCTTTTTTTTTCTTTTCTTTCTTTCTTTCTTTTTTTTTTTTTTTTGTGGTGCTGGGGATTGAACTCAGGACCCTGTGCTTGCCAGGCAAGCGCTTATTCTACTGAGCTATCTCCGCAGGGCCCTGGGCTTAATCTTTTGATCCTCCTGCCTCAGCCTCGCAGGACTTCGCTACCACAGCCAGCATGAATCAAATCACTGCCTGTGCAGGTGGTGTCCACGGAGAGGTGTGTCCACAGAGAGCTGTATCCACGGCGAGCTGAGACCAAGTTGGAGATGCCTGGCCTGCGTGTCAGGATGTGGTGTCGTGAGCCCTCCAAGGGCTCCCACTCCCCGAAGGACACGGCTCCCAGAGGCGGGGAGGCAGCTGGGGACAGGGGCTGTCCTCACCTCTCCTTCCACGCCTCCCGAGTCCAAGCCCAGGGAGCAAGGCCCTAGCTGGTGGCTGCCACTCTACACACACGGCTGTAGCCTGCTGAGGGGTGGACCCAGGCCGGGGTGAGGGGCCACAGGACAGAGAGGATGCAGCGTCTTCCCAGCCAGTCCCACTGAGCAGCAGCCTCTGGGGCACCCTGTGCCTCACTGTCCCTCCCCTTGGGCCCGCTGCTGCAGCAGGCAGGCAGCCCCTGAATGACACTTGCAGAACCCCCATCCCTGGCACCATCGCCTGCAGCCCACTGGAAGACTCTTGGGCCCTGACCTTGGCACAAGGGCACCATATCGTCGTGGGCGTGAGAGCACTGAGTACGAGCTGCCGGGACGCTGGCTTCGATTTGGCCCCCAGAGCGTGGTCGCAACATGAGGCGCCAGCCACAGGAGCACAGCTGGGCCCCTCCCTCAGCCCCTATGGAGGGCATACCCCTACAGCATCAAGACAGGGACCCTGAGAGGACAGACCCAGGAAATGCCTGGGCTGGGCCACGGGGTGGCACTTCCAGCAGGGCTGAGCAGGAACCCACTGCCCGCAGTGCCAGGCCCTCAAGCCTGGTCCCACAGCCCTGTGGAATGAAGCACCGCCATCTGCATCTCCAGCACTGTTCCCTGTGCCAGGCGTCTGTGGGACACTATGGGGAGCTGGCCAGGGAGGGTGGGTGGGTTCCGAGCCAGACTGGGGCAGGGGCATCACCAGCCTCAGGATAGTGGGCTGGGGCCAGGAGGCACCAGGGACCCATGGCCAGGCCACCTTCCATGCCTCTACTTCAGGCCTGGGCTGTGGCCCATAGATGCCTTGTGGGTCCCCATCCCCACCACTGAGTTGGGGAAACTGAGGCAGGGGGTGGGGTGGGGCCTGGCTGCCCTGGGTGGTACTTAGAATTAATCAGACCTTTCCCTCCCCCCCCCAGCATAGTCAGACCTTGGGAGGCGGTTGGGCTCTGCCCCACCTGCAGTCTGCTTTGCCCCAGGTCCTCTGGGGACGGGCTGAGTGGCATCCCTGGCGCGGGCACAGCGGGCCAGCCAGGCTCATGAGCAGCATTTAGATCCAGTCCTGGCTGAGGGGGTGGCGGGAACACAGCGTTCTTGGTGCCTGGCCAGCGGGTGTCCCTGTCCCTCCTCCACCAGGGCGCTTCCAGCAGCTGAGGCCACGTCTCAGGTGCCGCCCACCCCAACACAATGTCACCATCCGGCCAGCCTGTGGGCAGTGGCACAGGGGCAGGAGGTGAGGCGGTCCACATGGAGGGAGGGGCTGTCCCATGCCCGGCATTGCAGGATTGAGATGTGACTCAGGGCGGCTTCCTGGGAGGGGGCGCTCCATGTCGAGCGCCAGCCAGCCAACTGCACAGCCGTGCCCAGTGATCTTTGCAAATGTGCCCTGCCCACTGCCTATGGAGCACAACCCCCAGCCTTCCACTCAGGGACAGGCAGGGAGGCCTGGACGTGCGGAGCAGGTGGCTGTGTATCAGGGGAGGGTGCTGGCCCTGGGCAAGCCTGTCCAGGTGTCCACGGTGGGCTCACATAGCAGGTGCACCAGTCCCACCTTTGGAGTTGAGCTCGGGGCCACTTGAACTCCCCTAAGCCCAGACTCACTGTGTCCTCAGTGCCAGGGAGCCCTGCCCCCCAGGTCCCTCGTGAGTAAGCTGGGTGGCACATGAGCCCCAGGCAGGGATGGGCCCCAGCTGGGGGAGGCTGCAGCACCCACGGCCCCACACGGGCCAGGCAGTGACCACGAACAGCTCTGAGGAGCGCCGAGCAGGGCTGGAAGAGAATGTCCTACGAAGAGGCTGTGCCCACAGGCACCATGCCTGTGTCCTTTCCGCAGGGGCAGGGAGTGGGTTGGGCCACCCTGGGCCTCCTGCCGCCACCCGCAACCCTGGCTCGCCCTCCTGACCAGGCTGATCCTGGGTGGCCCCAAACGCACCGGGGCTCTGCCTACCATGGCCTGACGCAGGCACGTGGGACGGAAGGGACGGAGGGACCATCCTGACCTGGGAGGAGGTGCCGCACCAGCACCAGACACTCACCCAGGATGTCCCTTCGTGGAACGGGGGAAGATGACGGCTGCAGCCTGATTTATCAGCTCAGGTGCTTCATAGTACTTCAGATTAATAAAAAATATTTAGTAAAGAATCAAAATGGTTTATCTGTAATGCAAAGAGAACCCCATGGCCTATATTTTTATTACTGAAAAATCAGAAGCAAGAAGAAATAATGACATAAGCTACCGTATAAGTGACAAAATGCCCACTCGGGGTGCGCGCTGCGCTCTCAGTCTCGCCGGCCCTATAAACATAATCTATTCGTGCACCTCCTCCGGCGGTTCCGGAGCGGCTCTGCACGGTGGAGCGTAATAGGGCCCCGCTCTCCGTGGCGCAGGGAAGTGATTACATAAGAAATAAATTTGGCTGTCACTGCATTTAAAATCAAATCAAGCATCATTTGTTACCCCAAATGAAGCTGCTCTCCTTCCCTGCCTGTAAGTAGCTGCCGTTTGCCGAGCACTTAGAAATGTGCATACAGTAAACGCAGCGCGTAATGGCTCGCTCTGTAACCCGGCTTTATGGGGCCGTAGTGCCGGGTGCCGCACAAGCCGGTAAGCAGACGCCGCTTTTTTAATTTAAAGTTATAGGTGTGAGGCTGTATGCTCCCAGATCCATCTCAGTCTTGTTGGCAGAGACCCGGGCAAGATGTGGGCAGCCGGCCGCTGCCTCTGCTGCTGCCCCGCACCACCAGCCTCAATGCAGGCTTGAGGTCCTCAAGGCCCCCTGTGGGAAGGAAGGACCTGGACACAGGAGCCCAGGGGCACTGGGGCAGAGTGGCGGGGGAGCCCCGTGCCACGCAGAGGGCCGTGGGGCCGCCACCAGGCCACGGGCAGAGCCATGGGGTCTCTGAGCTGGGAGGCCCACCCTGTGCCTGGCAGAGGGGCCTGGAGGACCCGCCCAGCCCAAGCTGGGCCTTGCTTGAGGAAGGAGCTTCAGGCTCCTGAGTCCTGCAGCCATGCAGCCTGGTTAGCTGATTAATGAACCGACAGGGGGCAGACGGGGCGGGGGTCATGCCCAGGTGACTCGGGCAACCCAGACTCCTCCGAACTCCCAGCCCTGACTACCTCTGTGGGAGCCCGGGTCCCCAGAGCTCAGGCCTTACACAGTCTCCAGCCTTGTCCCCACCTCTGACCGCCCTCACAGTGACCTCTGCCCGCAGCCCACATTCACTGCCCTGTGGCCCCTGCAGCAATGGCCACACCAGCGCCCACCCCCTTTGCCCTGTCTCCTGGGTTGCGCACCCACTCGGCTGCCAGGCCCCCAGGGACACGGAAGCCAGAGTCCACAGCCACGTCTGCCAAGCACATTAAGGTTAATGTCGCTGCCTCTCGGTAACAGCCCACTGTGTTATCAGGTGTAATATAAACTCAGAAATTAATTGCCTCCCCTCGCGCAGCATCTTTAACTGCTCCAGGAAGGAAATATGGCTCGAGCAGGAGGTCCTACCAGATTCCCTCCGTGAGCTCACGAGGACGTTTGCTCCGCCGTGAAGCAATAGCTCTTCATGAACGCGTTAGCCCCAAATTTAAAAATGCCTGAAGAAAGATGAATTCAGCTTTTGTCCACCCAGTAGTAGTTACATCTGGAGGTTGTGGGGTGACTGGGCCACCCTGGACAACAGGCTTCCCAGGCTGAGCTGAGCCCAGCCCCGGTCCTATGAGCTCAGCCCTGGGGACCCAGGTGGGCAGCATGGAAGCCCTCCGGCTGGAGGTGTTGGCCCGAGGGCACCCTGCTCCTTCTGCCCTCCTCCTCCCCCCTCGCTTCTGGTCAGGACCCTCCAAGGGAGCCGAGTAGGTGGCAGCGCAAGGTGGCCTGTACCCCCAGCCTCGGCTGGCCCCGGGCTGGAGGCAGCTGCCTGTCGTGCCCCCACCCCTCGCCCCAGCCCTCTTCTCCAGGTACAAGTTGGGATTTCTCGGCACCTAGGACCCCGAGCCCTGGGGGCTGCGTCTGTGACCTCACTGGGGGCTGCTGGTCTGAGGCAGACATTTTGTCTCTGGGGAGGTCCCTGGCTCCAGAAAGCCGGCAGGTACCTGGGAAGGCCAGGGCCTGGCCCACAGCTCCTGGGCAGCTGAGCATAGCCAATCCCTCCGAGGTGGAGAAAGACATGAGAGAAACTGAGGCACCCACTGGAAGAGCCAGGATGGTACCAGGCCCAGAGACCCCAGGCTGAGGCTCCCCGCCCCCCACGCAGGGTCTGGTACACGCCCCAAGAGCCTCAGAGCCTGGGGTAGCAGGCCAGGCCTGCGGACAGTGAGCTGTGGGTCCAGGCGCCTGCTGCCTTCTCCTCCTCCTCTGAATTTGGCTCTGCAGCAGCCCCCAAATTCAGAGTCCCAGGCCACTGTGGGGTGTGGGAAAGAAAGCGGAGCCGGAGGAGCACCCAGGCTGCAGGTGGGGTACTCTTCCTCCCACCTGTCCTCAAAGCTGCCCACAGCCCCTGACTCAGGCAGGTTGGACTTTTATCACCCAGGGGACAGCAAGCCACTCTGATAATGGGGTGTGCAGAGACTTACCCACAAGGCCAGAGGCAGTGTGATTATTCGTCTTAAACCAAGTCGCTCTCCCAAAGCCAAGCTGAGCCCCTCCAGGGGCTTGGAGGCCAGCACCTGCAGTGCCAGCCCGGGGAATCTGGCGGACAGAGCCAGGCTGGCCTGGAAGCTGGTGGGTGCTCAGGGCCCCGGCTAGGGCTCCCTGGGCTCCAGACTCTCCCTCCCGCCAATGCCAAGCCCAGGAGTCCCTGCTGAGCTGGGCCTACGGGGTCCGCCAGGAGCTGTGGGTGGCAGGGACAGCTGGGCGTGGCCATGCCAGCCCCTGTGTCTGTGTGCCAGAGTGGAGGGTTCATGGCAGCTGGAGCCCAACTGCATGACACCTTTCCAGAGGGCTGCTGCCAGACCACGTGCATAGTCAACCCCGATCGGCCACCGGCCTGTCCCTGGACTCTATGACATGTGTGTGCCCCCTTCCCCAGGGCCCCCACACCTCCAAACTTACCATCCCCCCGAACTTCCTTGGCTCCTCCTTAGGTGACTGAGCCCAGCCCCCTCCCCTCGGCCCGGGGCCCCCAAGGACTGCAGAGGTAGTGGGGAACACAGCCCCTGACAGAATGGGGACGCAGCGGGGAGGGCACCCTGGGGAGGCTGCCAGCTCCGGGGAGGCCGGTGGGAGCCTGGTGCCAGGCCAGGCAGCTTGTGCGAGGCACTGCGAGGCCGGCTGGTGCTGCTGGCGCTTGGCAGGCGCGGAGGATGTTTGCAGACTGCCGCCGACAGCTTCAGCAGAAGCCAGCACCCTGGTTAAACACAGAAGCGCGCCGCGCCCACGGCCGGGTGGGAGCCGCTGTGGGGTGCGGGCTCTTTGGGGCCTCCCCAGGTCTGCTCAGCACACCAGTGCTGGTGCCCAGAACCCCAGCGCCTTCCTGCATCCCTCTCCTGAGGCACCCTGAGGCACATCCTGATGAGCTTTGACAGACCAGCGGGGGGCGGGGGAGGCTGTAGGACTCCCTGTGCTGTGAGGCTGGCTGGACTCCTGCCTGCCTGCCCAGAGGGTGCCTGCCACCGCGCGCTCAGTAGGTGCTCCTGTGCGCTTGCTTCAGTGCATCGCTGGGACACTGGGCAGCAGGGGGCACCGCGGGGCTCCTCAGAGACAGCAGGCTGGTGGCCTTCGGTGTGGGGCCCCAGGGGAGCTACAGGCCCTCAGCCCTAAGGGGGTCCTCCAGCCCGACCCCTGCTGGGGCCCTCCTGACCTAGCCATGAGTGACACACAGAGCTCGGGGTGCCTGGGGAACCCTGCAGCCCCCAGAACTATTGGAGCCCCTAGGAGCGGACAGAGCACTTGTTCTGTTGTTCCTTTGAGATAAAATTTTGCTACACAATCGAGGATGGGCTCAGATTAGTGTGATCCTTCTGCCTCAGCCTCGAGGGCCAAGATCACAGAGTGCGCCACTGCCCTGGGGCTGTCTTCATTAATTTTAATAATGATTATTATTTGTGTTACTTTTTTGGAGTGCTGGGGTGAAAACTGCTGCGGAAGAGCAGGGCTGCCTACCCCTTCCCTGGGCCCTCCCCACTCACCTTGGGGTCCCGCCAGCCTGCACGCACAACACTGTCCTGAGGGGCAGCTGTGTGCTGTCTTCCGCCTCCTCTGTCCCCAGCCTGATGGTCCCTGGAGGCTCTGGATGTGGGCATACGCCTGCAGCCCAGCTTGGCTGCCACCTCAGCCTGAATGTCCCCCTGAGGCTGCCACCTCTGAGGACTGCGGCCCTGGGACCTGGGGTGCCAGCCCAGGGAGTGCTCTGAGGCCACGGGAGGACAGAGTGCCCCACACTGTGGTAGGCCCTGCCTTGCTGGTTTCAGCCACCCAGGAGGCTGCATAGCCCGGAGGGAGGTAATAAACCAGGCAAGCTGACTGTAAGAGCGCGGCGGGCATTTTCCAGAGCTGCCAGGAGCACGAGGCCCTTGCCTCCCGCCTGAGGGAGGGGGAGGTCACGACTGACCACCGCGTGCCAGGCCCAGTCCCCTTCCCTTCCTGGAGGGACAGAGGATTGGACTCTGTGGCCAGAGCTGTCTGTATACTTGGCAGCCTGGGCCTGCACTGGGGTGGGAGGTGGGGCGACGCTGGCCTGGCCTGGGGGTGCGGTCCCCAGAGCCCCTTCTTCCAGGGGCTGGGCCTGGGGAGCAGGGGAGGCAGTGACCAGGAGGCTTCTCTCCCAGGAGGGACCAAGGTTGCACGTCTCCAACCACGGCCACGCCCTTCAAATGCCGCTTCGGCCAGGGTGCCCAGCCGAGCCCCTCAGCCTCTGTGCCCGCTTCCTGCCCTGCAGGGAATTTGGGGAGGAGCCAAGCCTGGAAGAGCCCAGGACACCAGCCAGGCTGGGGACAGCACCCGGGGAGTAGCAACTGTGACCTGCCCCTGAGCACAGGAAGTGGGCGTGGGGCAGGTGAGGACAGGAGGCACCTGCCCTTCAGCAGGTGCTGGGCCGAGGTCCCCTGGGGCTGGGCTCTGTGGGACCCACACCTCCCAGGCACAGTAGGCCGGGGGTCTTCTGAGATACTTCCTTCCCTCCAGGCACCCTGCACCCCCAACTGCCTGCAAAGGCTGCAGGCAAGTGATGGAGACTCAGTCACCAAGGTGGCCACCACGTGGTCCCGGGCACAAGTTCACAGAGGGAGCGCCCTGGGCACTGTGGAATCCGGCCACAGCCGGCCACCACTGACAGCACTCGAGGCAGCCAGGCCACTTCATCCACATTCACCTGGTGCCCTTCACCATGCAACTGTAGAGTGTCAGGGCAGCCATAGGAGGAGGAGCCTGGCCCACCCCGCCCTCCGTCCTATGCCGACTGCTCTCATGGGTGCGGGGCAGCGAACCCAGGAGCCCCTCCTGTGGGCTCGTGTGGCACCCAAGGGCCCCGCAACCATGGCCAGTGCCACCCTGCACGGCTTGCCAGACTCAGAGCTGAGAGCCCGGGTTCACAGCCCAGCGTTAAGTTCACCTGCAGAAAGGGGGCACGGCACCCGGCAGCAGGGCTGGGGTCGGCAGTGCACCCACCTCCCAGCAGCGGGTGGGCTGGGGCATTTGCGGGCTGGGGCCGCCTGCCCTGTGCCACCTGTGACCGCTGGCAGAGACGCAGGTCTGGGGCTGGGGACAGGCAGCCCCACAGAGCCCCTCAAGCCTGGTGGTCCTTTTTGCTGCAGAGCCTTCTGCAGAGGTCACCGTCACTGCGGCCCTTTCATCCTGCAAGGAGCCTGCAGGACAGAGGGTACGCAGAGGCCGGCAGCGCTGCCCCCGCTTCCTGGGTGACCCCACCCCCCATGGGCTCGCAGCCCCAGGCCTCAGGGGACCCTACAGCTGGGCTCTACTCACCACGATGGTGGGAGACAACCGTTCCCCCAGGCTGACTCACTTTCCCTTTGTAGCTCGGCCACTGGTGAGCTTCAAGGTGTTTTTGGCTTTGTCATTCTTTGTTGGGTTTCAGTGACAAATTTACCACTTTGACCACGGGTGCCTGGAGAGTCCACAGCCCTGCACGTGTTCACAAGGGTGCTGCGTGGCCACTACTGTCCAGTCTCCAAGACACCCTGTCCTCCGGCCCTGCCCCCTGCCTCGGCACTGCTCACCTGCTTCCTGTTGTCTTGGTGGCTGGGATCATGTGAGGTCATGCACCCTCAACCTCAGCCTGCAGGTGTCTGTGCCGTCCATGGTCTTGTGCTGTCCCCATCTGCCACACCCACCCGCACCCACACGTGGCCAGTCAGGGTCCAAGCGCAGTCCCACACATGGGTGCCGGGCTCTGATGGAGTCTTGCGGCAGCTTCACGACCCACAGGTAGTGCTGCCAAGCTGCAGAGCGACCAGGCTCCACTCTGCAAGGAACACAGAACAGTCAGATGGCTCCCTGGCAGCTGCCCCCACTGCTGTCCTCACCCACGCGTGGATTCTGAGACCTTGATTTCATGTGTAATGGAGGACCCTGAAGGTAGAGGGAGGAGCATGGGGCTGGGCTGTGGTACCACCCCCCTCACGGAGGAGAAACGGGGCCAGGCTGGCGGGAACGAGAGCCAGGACCCCATGACTCATGGCTGAGCCAACAGGGAGGGTCCCTGCCCAGCTGTCCCTGGGCTGCAGCCTCAACCCCCAGCCCCTTGCAGGGGTCTCCCCGAAGAGTTCCCCTGCCCTCGCCGAGTTGGCTTCAGAGCCAGGCCCTCAGACGACTAAGCACATTGATTTCCACCGCGAGGGGCCCCGCGCCCGCCTCAGTTCCAGGAATGGTATTTTGAGCAGCGGTGACGTGCAGAGGGCAGCGGGGCTGCACCACTGAATGAAGCTGAGGGGCCGGGCCCTAGGCCTAATGACGCGAAATCTCCCCTGGGAGGGCACCGCTGCCTCTGCCACCCTCACTTCCTGCACAGCCAGGCAGCTCCACCCGCCCTGGCAACCTCCTGAGCCCAGGCCACATGCCCTCTGTCCACCCCGGGCACCCAGAGTCTCCGCAAGGCAAACTCCACTAGCCCCAGCCCTGGCTGCTTCAGTCCGTTCTGCCCCAGCCATGCAGCGGCGACCCCATAGCACCCGAGGCCCCTTGTGTCCCCCACAGCCCCGGGAACTAGCAGCCTCATCTTTCTCCCCTCTGCAGCCAGTAGCTCCAAGTCTGTGGGAACCGGATTGGTGCAAAGGACTAGGCCAGGGACGCTGCCCAGCCAGGCCACAGTAGAGGCCGTGCATCCTGCCAGCAGAGGGAGGCGTGCTCCTGCCAGGGTCAGCGCAGCCTGGCCAGGCCCCGCCTCCACAGCCTAGCGACAGGGCCTGCAGTGTTCTCAGTGTGAACACCCAGAGACCCTCGTGACCTTCGCAGAACACGAAGGTCAGGTGGCCCAGGAACCCAGCTGTGCTAACGCCCCGCTCTATTTCTATGACTAGGCTTCTTTTTAAATTATTTTTTTATCAGCACACGATCACAGTCCATAATGACTCCTCCAGGAACTAGGGCACATTTATGACATAGGTTAGCTCTGTGTCCCTTCCCCCTCTTCCACTCCCTCTTTTGGTCCCTTCCTTTTTAAAAATTTTGTTTCATTTCATTTATCTATTCATTTGTTTCTGTTTTTTGAGGTGGTCTGGCTGGGTAGTTCAGGCTGGCCTTGAAGTCCCAGTGACCCTCCCGCCTCAGCCTCCTGAGGGCTGGGATCATAGGCGTGCACCACCGCCCCAGCCATTCCCTTCTGAGGAAGACCTACCTCCCCGACCCCCACGCCTGTCTTACATTTTGCCTTTGCCTTCTACTTTGGGCTTCTCGCACGATAGAGACCAGGCGCCGTCTGAGGAGACTCATCTCACTCAGCACTGTGGCCCCCAGCCACCCACCTCTGGAATGACCCAGGCTTGCGCGCCTCACGGCAACGGCGCCCAGCGCACCCGCGCATTGTCTTTATCCTCCCTGTTTTGGTGGACACACAGACCACTTCCAAGATCCGGCTGCTGTGCAGGTGCTGCTCGGCGCTTGGGCAGGCGCGGGTCACTGCAGGATGATGACCTGGAGTCCTTTCAGGAAGGCAGGAGAGCAACCCGTCAGATGGACTCTCTGGTTTCGGTTTTTGAGCAGTCTCCACCCTGAGCTCCGAGCGCTGTGCTGGCTTATGCCCCCACCGAGGTTCAGAGGGACTTCTTAAACCGTGCGTGGTGGCACCTGCCTGCAATCCCAGCACTCCGGAGGCTGAGGCAGGAGGGTGGCTGGAGTTCCAGGCCAGCCTGCGCCCCGAAGTGAGCTCAGGGCCTGCCTGAACTGCGTAGTGGGACCCTGTCTCAAAAAGACCAAAAACTAAACAAAAATAGGACTCCCCAGCCCCACCCTCCCCAGCATTTGCTGTGATTTGATTTCTTGGCGAAGGCCACTCTTTCTGAGGTGAGACACAACCTCAGCATTCTTTTAATTTGCATTTATCTAATGGTGTGAGCATTTCTTCATGGATTTAGTGGCCGCTGGCACTTCTTCCGAGAAGCGTCTGTCCACGTCAGCTGCTGTTTTGGATGGCTCTTCTATCGAGGGGGATAAAGGTCTGAAAAGTAGATCAGGGTACCATTTCTGTGTTTTCTTTTTCCAGAGCTCAGGGTGGACCTGGGGCCTCCTGCACAAGGGCACCCCTGATTTTTTTAATTATCCACCAATTTGAAAAACGTAAAATCACCCCTAGCCCCTGATGTTGGCAGGAGAGTGAGATGGGGCAACTCACACACCTGCATGCCCTGCGTAAGAGACAGCCCACTAAGCAAAGCTCAGCCTAGACCCACGGCCACGCAGACATCGGGACGTCGGGCCCCCTGGGGTCATTACAGTCCCTCACAGTGGGCTCTGAAAGCAGCAGTGAGAGCCAGGTGTGGTGGAGTGAGCCTCCCCTCGGGAGGCCGAGGCAGATCAGGAGACCGAAGCCAGCATGGGGAACTGCATGGAGTCCTGTCTCAAAATAAAAATGACCAAGGGCAGCGGAACACCGGGAAGAGCGTTTGCCTAGCGCACACCAGGCGCTGGGTTCATCTCCGGCACCAAACAGAAACGGCTGTGTGGATTCGGAGATGGGGCCACAGAGGCAGCTGGGCGAGCCCACCTTTCTCACGGTGCCGCCCGCTCCCCAGGTCCCGTGGTCTCTGCATCCAAATCTACACCCTGCGAGGGAAAGGCCAGATCTGCCTTCGGGGGCCTGGCCTTGCTCTGTGGTCCCCATGAGGGACCCAAGGAAAAGCCCCCGGGGACTTTCAAGTGCAGTCCCAGCCCCACACCTGCCCCGCGGTGCCAGATCTGTGTCCTAACGAGGTGTGTGGTATTGGTGAGCAGGGATCCAAAACCGGGGAAACTGAGGCATGGAACCAGGCAGGCTCACAAACAGCCAGCGTCACACAGGTGACACTGGTGCTGTCAGCACGGGGGCTCTGGTGATGCTGGTGCAGCAGGGAGATCAGCTGGAAGGCGGCCTCGGGCGTGAGGCTCCTGTCCAGAGCTGCCACCTCCCTGATGGACTCAGCCAGGCTGCTGCTGCCCCAGCTGAGGGCCCCTGGGGGCTGTGCTCAGCTGGCTGTTGGGCTGTTTAACCCGTCCCTGGCTGTGCAAGGTTTGGGGCGCAGAGCACACTGGGGAAGTGGCCTCTCGGCAACACAGGGAGCAAAGTGCCCTCATATACCCTGGCAGACCTGTCCCCAGCACTCCTGGCAGCCAGCCGGCTTGTTTTCTACCCCACCCCAAGCTTATACATACAGGCAGTCATGCACCATGTGAGAAGGGGTAGAGGTGGGGGGACAGCCAGGGGGCGCTGGAGGCCAAGGTCTAGAGACACCCTGGGAGGGCCCTTCCAGGTGGGGCCTGCAGCTGCAAGCTTGAGGGGTGCCTGCCCTCTGTGCCCCGTAGGCTGAGGGGGGCAGGGCCTGGGCTGGGTGCCAGGGCTGCTGGGAAGGGCGCAGGGCCTATCAGGGCTGCCATGGTGGGTACACAGTATTCTGGAACCCAGAGGGGACACAACTGGCTTCTCTGTTGGTCACCACGGTCCCACCTGGTCGACCAGGACAGGGACATGCAGAGCCCCACTGGCTTGGCCACCCTTTCTGGAACTCTCCACACCCCTCTGAAGGCAGTATCATGCATGTCCCCACCTGGGCCTGGTGTGATCTGCCAGGGGTGGTCCGGGAGGCTGGGACCACCCACCCACGGCTGCATCTCTGCTCTGTCGGGGCCAGCACCCTCCGTCTCTGCCTGAGTGCGCCACAGCCCACAAAATGTCCCCTGCAGCTGAGGTCCTAGAAAGGGGGCTGGGGTCACCCAGAGTGGCCTCTCAGACTGCTGGGTCCTGCAGGGCCAGGAGGACCCTGCCACAGAAACCCCCAGGGGAAGGCAGATTCCAGCTCCAAGTCCATACTCATCTCCTCTCCAGGTAGCTGCACTCCTTGTGTGGGGCTAATTTCCCACACCCCCATCCCAGGCCCCTTCTGTCCCCTCCCAGTCACCAAGGATCCAAGAATGGACAGATCTGGGGAGTATGGCGGCCTTGGGCTCCTGTGGGCAGGGGCCAAGTGACTGCAGGCTTCCTATGGCTTGAGGGCCGAAGCATACAGGACTTGGGGTCCACCGCCTCCCTCTGCACATCCTGGCTGAGGTGGGGGCAGTGGTTCCTGGGCACTGACAGCTGAGCTCCTGCAGGCAGAGTGGAAGAGAGAGGCTCCTGCCATCATGCCCTGCACCCTCAGCAGGGATCCCCACCCCCTCAGCATGGACCCTCATGCCCTCAGGAGATCCCTGACAGGGGCCTAGGACAGCTCACCTGGCTCTCCTGAAGGAGGACAGAGACGGGCCAGGCCCAAGCCCCTGCAACAGAAAAGGCACCTGTCCAGCTCTGCTGTCAACTGTAGCCCCTGCCCTTGGGCTCAGGCTCATACAGGGTGGGATTCTCCACCCCACGTGGGTCAGGAGTTGTGACCAAGGACAGCAGCGTGGGGAGGGGCTGCCACCAGGCAGTCAGGACGACCTGATCTGGCCAGGCCACACCAGGCTCCTTCCAGGACTCTGTGGCTTTGTGCAGCAGCAGAGGACTTTGACAGAGACCCTGGGTCTGGCCCAGCCAGCCCCCTCCTCCCTGCAGCCAGGCTGAAAGACAGGAGGGGCCCTGCATCCTGGCCTCAGGGACAGTGACAAGGCTCCAAGGGCACAGGTCAGACTAGGGACAGCTCTGGTGGCAACTGTCAGCCTCCCTCTCTGAAAAGCTAGTGAGCCTGGGAGCGTGTTCAGGGCAGGCAGGGCTGTTCCACAGCCCAGGTTCCCAAGTATCCCCGAGACGCCCTCCCAGCACTTCCACACCGCCTGCTCACCTGGGCCTTGGCTGTCCTGGCTGCTGAGGGCTTGGGACCTGCTGGGGCTGGCCTCTGGAACCTCCCTACCAGCTGCGTACTGCCCAGTGGTGAGCAGCCAGGTGCGGGGCCCTGCCAGCCGAGGGAGCCCCTCACACAGGACATGGGCATGAACACTCATCTGAGCCCTGGGGCTCGGGTGGGGGCAGGCAGGCTGAGACAGTGCTCCTGGATTTCTGGGTAGGGCAGTATGATATTGCAGTCCTAAAGAAGCTGGCTCAGGGGACCCCAAAACAGCACCCCATGCTCATGGGGGACCCTTCAGTGTAGAGGCCCGAGGCAGAAGCATCCTCTCTTCGCCTAAGGTGAGGGCTCTGGCTCTAAGGTCCTCTTTGGGGACCCACTAAATGCTGCCTGCCTGGCAACCAGCGCGGCTCTAGGAGGACTGTAGGTACAAAGGGCCCAGTCCCAGGCTCCGTCCCAGGCAGGTGATGTCTAAGGTGGAAGAAGCCACAGGATCCAAGAGACCCAAGCAGCTGGCCCCAGGACCAAGTACCCTCCAGAGGCAGGCCCCAGGGCTTGGGTCGCACCTGGAAAAGACCTGCCCATCTCAAGGGGCCCTTCTATCCACCTGAGGGTGGTACCCTGGCCAGAGAAGGGCACTGCCTCACTTATAGGCAATGAAGCCACGCCCCCTGGTGTCACTGTGGGTGTCCCACCCACTTGCCCCTTCTTTGTGGGCACTGGGAAGGGGTCAGGCAGCCCTGAACCCCAGGTCAGGCTCCCATCTCTCTGAGCCAGCCTGGGACGGTTCTTCCTTGCCGCCGGAGGGCTACAGTGGCCTGGATCCCAAGTCAGGGACCCCTGGCACAGGTGGCCACAAGCCCTGATACCCAGCCCCTCTTTGACTTCTGCACACCCCACACCCATCACTGGCCTTTAAGCAAAGCCCAGGAGCCATGGGTTTGAACTGACTTTATTATTCTGTAAATGTGAATTTTACAAAGCGCTTTACAATGAACGGTGACATCTTTTGCTCAGCGGTCATGGCCTTCCACCTTCCCCTGATTGCGCACACCTGGCGGTTGTTCAGTTATTGATACAATGCTGTCAGCCATGGCTACAAAGTTAACAGTCTCGTCACTACGAATAACAGCACAGAAAGGGAGGAGGAAGGACGCAGGAAGGACAAAACAAAGGCTTCCTCCTCCTTAAAGGAAAACAAAAAGCCACCATCTCCGGGGGCTGAATCTAAGTCAGTGGCTCCGGGAAGCCCTCCTCCATAGCACAGGACAGTCTGCTTCATTAACTTACTGTTTAACAGTCTCGAGTTACAGTACTACTCTACCCCTCACAGATCCTGGAAAACAACCACCTCCTTTTAAGTCTCCTCTCCAAACATTCTGTGGGAAGGGTGGGTGCTCTGTTTGCACCCAGTGCCGTCTGAATGTTCAAGTCAAAAATATTTATACATTTTAAACTTAGTTCTGGATTTTTTTTTTTTTTTTTTTTGTCTGCTAAAAATAGTATTGCGAGTTTTGGCTTCTGACATAAAAATCACAATCGTGTGCAAAACGCTAACGGAGGCGACGGATCAGAACACGGGCGAGCTGGCCAATCTGAAGGCTTAGATCCTGCATCATTTCCCATTTCTTTCCTTTTTTAACAAAACAAAGCAAACAAACAAAAGCAAAACACCTTTGCCATCTGAAAACCGCCTGTACCAAGCCCGCGCTCCCAGACACAGCAGAGCTGGCTGGCCCCGTGACGGCCGGCGCCGCTGCAGCGCGTCCGGGAGCAGCTGAAGCCGAGACGGCTGCCGCCGCCGCTCCAACCCGGGCCCAGCACAGTGGACAGGCGTCCTCTGCGATCCAGCAGCCCCTGCCTGCTCCCAGCGGAGGGGACAACGGGACAGGACGGGCTGGGCTGGGCCTAGCAGTGCCAGCTGCTGAATGGGCAACCCCAGCCACACCAAAGTCCCCTCATGGGGACGCCTGACCTGACAGCAGCTCGCTGGCGTCTCTACCCTGGTCCACCCAGCTCTACACGTAAACACAATGGCCAGTTGACAGGGAGCAAAGGTAAGACCACACAGCCAGTCTCCCCAGCCACCTGCCCAGCGCCACACAGTTCGGGAGTCCCCCAGCAAGGCCCTCCCATTGCCTCTCACAGCTGCATCCACTTTCAGGGGCAAAGTAAGACACCAAATCAGATGCAAACTGAAGCAACCACACAGAACACAGGTGCGTGGACCTGGAGTGGGAAACAGAACAGAATTCAAGTACCGAGGCGCGCTGGCCAGGCAGCGGCCCCACAGAGCTCACAGTACCTGTCCCGTCTCTGGTCCCTTCCTCTGGACCTTTTGCACTTGTCCCAGCTGCCTCTTGGGCCATCCCCTGGGGGAGGGTGGAGAGGGGATGGCAGGACTGGGGCTGGACCCCAGGCCGGCACCCGCCTCAGCAGCTCCACCTCGGCCAGTCCAACTGTCCTCGCAGCAAGGCGCCGATATAACTTAGCTCTATAATAGACTCTATATAGTATATGCGTATTGCTAGTAGTCAAGCTTAGGAATAGGGGTGCAGACACCTCATAAATACTGAGTGGCTTGCCTCTCGCCTACGGGGTCTGGGTGAGTTGGGTCACACTGGCGGGACAAGACGCCCGATTCTGGAATTAGTCATCTTGTAAACAAAGGAGGGGGAGGGTCCGGGGTTCCTAATTGGTCTCCCTTGGGAAAAATGATCAAAAGATGCTAAGGCACTCTGGAAGGCCCCTCCGAGCCCAGGCCTGCTGCCCGCCGCCCGCCGCCCCGCGGTACATTCAGGGTGTGGAAGGAGCGCCCGGCAGGTACAATCATCGGCCACGCACACACGTCTGCGAACGCTCCCCACCGCGCCCACCGCAGGACACATCAGTGCAAAACGCTCGGCCCGGCCCGCCCGGGGCACAGGGAGAGCTCAGAACCCATTCACATTGAAGTATTATTACTAAGTTTTACCTATAGCTCTTGCCTTCCTTACCTAGAACAACAAAACAGACGGCGATCATAAAGGACTAAGGGGCAGGGGTGCGGGACATTGTGCTAGCCCGAGCAGCACTCAGGCCTTCTGTGCAGCCACCACCTCCTCCAGGGACTGGCGGGGCCCTCCCCGTGCTGGCCTAGGGTGGGGGCCGCACCCACTGTGGGGTGGAGGTGGGACAGAGCCTGCCAACGGCAGGGACGGGCAGCCTGACTCCCATCAGTCCCCAGGGATGGTCAAAGTAAAGTGCACATTTGGGTGGGGGAGTGGGGGCAGATGAAGGCAAACTCTGGAGGGCCGGGCGCAGCTCGCCCTCAGCCGCCCTGTCCTTCGCCGCCCAGGCCCCTCCAGCACCAGCGCGGTGTGGTCCAGGTCCCCGGAGGCGCCATCCCTGCTGAGCTCCCCATGTGGGGCAGCTCTGGGCTGGGGGTTCCAGGCCAGGGTGGGAACTATGAGCCTGTGTGCCACCTGCTGCCCCAGGAATGCTGGGGGCTCCTGGGTCTCCCCACGCTTAACCCCAAGGGGCAGGGAGTGGGGTGAGGTTTCTTTCTGGTCCTGCCCACAACCCCCACTCCTTCCAAAGCCACCAGAGCTTTCTGGAGAGCAGGCAGTCTCCCCAAGGTCTCTCCACTGCTCGGGAGGCAGCACCCACAGAAATGGGAGCTGGGTGAGGGGTTTAAACCAGCCCCTGCTGCAGACTCAGTCCCCAGCCCCCAGCTGGGGACGGAGCCGGCAGCCTGTGTGCACACAGGAGGGGGAACTGAAACAAGCTAGGGTGGACGGAGGAACAGGAAACAGCAGACCTATCAAGTCTTAGGGAGTCAGTGGGCTCTACACTCAAGAAGGGACACCACCCGGGCTGGTGGCCAGAAGTATGCCCCCATCACCTGCACCCTACTGCTGGGAAATCAAGTTTCCAATTCATAGGAAGCACTCGGCTTTGAGCTGGCTGGTGGCCCCTGGGACCCCTTCCTGTCCCCCACTGCCTCAACCCAGGCCTATGCCTGCTGCCTCTGTAGCCTGGGGCATCACAGAGGTGGCACAACAGGCCCAGTGTCACCAAGGGTCTGTGCCACCCTGCAGGCACCCCGGCCCTTGAGTCCAGCCTGCATGTGTCCCGGCTGTGAGCCCTGGAACTTCTGAGGGAGGCAAGTGGGCCCTGGCCCAAGGAGGGGGCAGGATCTGCATTTGCCCCTGATCTGTGGTAGGGACAGAGGTTTCTGCCCCTCCCCAGTTTTTTGCTCTATTGGGTCTAAAAGTTTCCAAACCATATATGAAATAGATCTGAACTAAACAAAAATACCAAACAAGCAACATCCCAGAGTGGCTGGGGCGTCAGGGTGACTGCAGTTGCACAGGACCCGTGGCAGCCCGGGGTGGGGAGCCCGTGGGCAGGCGCAGGGCCTCCGGGGGTGCTGAGGGGCTGCAGCACAGAGGTCTGGGGCAGAGCAAGGACTCGGCGTGGGGGACCGCGATGTCCTCCCTGCACGCCGGGGGCCAGCAACGGCCATCGAAGTACCACTGCTGGTCACACCCACACCCACACACACGCACTCTCTCATCCACACTGCACACTCACCCACACGCTCACCCACGCAGATGGCATCTCAGGAAGAAGGAAAATGAGAAGGGTGTGGCCGTGCAGCCCTGCACGGCCCATAGGAGAAGCGGAGTGTTTCCCAGCCGCGTCGCGGCCCCCTTCCTCTTCCGGCAGGAGGAGCAGGAAGCGTGGGCGATGCGGAGCAGGCTGGGCACCGGGCTGGAGGCCTCCGCCCGGGGAAGGGCCGACCCGGGCTGTGCCCCAGCGTGTGGCCAGTGGCCTAGCTGTGTACAGTATAGTGAGTGCATTTTCCTTCATCCATTTTAAATACAGGCAGAATAAAAATCACATTTTTGTCAGGCAGCAGTAGCAGTTCAGTAGGTAAGTGGCTTGATCACATCTGTTTGTATTAGTAACGCATGCAAGCGGCTTGGTGCTCGTCCCTGGGTCCCTGGCGAGCAGGCCTGCGGCCCCTTACAGAGTCCCCGCGTAGGAGCCGTCGGGCCTGCTGGGGCTGGCGCCGGCCTGCTGCTCGAAGGGCTGCGGCGGGCTCGCGCCGTCGGCGGGCAGCGGCTCGGG